GCAGAAAGGGACGCAGAAGCAGAAGCAGAAGCAAAAGCAAAAGCAGCAAGGGACGCAGAAGCAGAAGCAGAAGCAAAAGCAAAAGCAGCAAGGGATGCAGAAGCAGAAGCAAAAGCAGGCAAGGTAGAAGAAGCAGGAGTAGATCAGGAGATGATAGCAGCAGTAAGAAGCGTAAGAATAGGAGCTCCAGAGGAGGAAACCGTCACCCAAATCCAAGCACTGCCAAGAGTCCAAGAAGAGGGCAAAGCAAGAATGCTAAAGCTGCAGACGATGGCAATGCTGCAGACAGCTTTACCGAGGTCCCAAGTGAAAAGGATGGGAGTGTTGCAAAAGAACATAAAAAGGTTGGGAAGAAAGCCCAGAGAAAGAAAATCGTAGAGAATGGTGCAAGCTCACGCAGAGAGGATATCCACAAAGCTGATCACTCCGATTTGATACAGAACCCGGTTGATACAGCTGCAAAGGTTTCACCTCGCACACTGGTCCAGCGGGAAACCACATCCAAAACGGTTATGGTAAGGAAACGGCCATATGAAAATGATGGCAAACATAAACCGGAGGTGAAAAAGTCCGAAGAACAGGATCATGACAAGAGAAAAGACCGCCTCGTTGACGTGGACAAAAGGGATGAGTTGACGAAGGCAGATACCACAGGGACCATGAACAAGAAGCAGGAGGAGCAGGTAGTGATGGAAACTCCTGTCCCAGCGGCTAAGAGTTTCTCAGCGAAAAGTTCAGAGACAAAACCAACCTCCAGCACTGACGCGGAACATGAAACGAAAACCGGAAAGAAAAAGGTGAAGGACGTGGGGTCCAGTGAGGATTATGAACAAGGCGAGGAAGTGCTTGCGGGTGAGAAGAGCATTCACTTTGTAACTCATTCCAAAATGAAGAAGCCGCAAAGCATTGGTACAGGATTCACGCCTAGGCAGGGGGTGAGCAGTGGGAGGCCACCGGAGGAAACTTCAGATATCAAGCAGGGTATGAATGTCAGCGGGAGGGCAGGTGAGGAGGGTGGGCTCATAGTCGCATCATTGGAAAGCACAAGGCTGCAAACTCCGCAACCACAGAGTCGTCGCCCACAACTGGCACCAGTTGTGCCCAATTGGACCAGCAGCACTATCAAACCTCATGAGAGAGAGGCTCTCCTGTTCCGCACAAGGAAAGTGGGAACAGAGCTGGGAAGTCTACAGGAAGACCGAACCAGCAAAGACATCAGGTGGTTTCCCGAGGCAGCAACCTTCGTGGTGACGCCTGAGGGGCCAGAACCCAGGGAGACATTGAATGACACCCTCACGGTGGAGGAAGTGTGGCAGGAAGCTCCTGCAGGCACAATGGAAAATCCGTTTGCAAATTGATCTCTGACAGAAGGCGAGCATGAAGTGGCTGGATCATCAGTCTTTGCAATGGACACAACAATGGTAAGAGAAACTGAGATTTCCTCAACCTTTCCCTTCCCCCTTCTTACTCTACATGCATGTCATCAACCATGGCAGCATGTGCGCATATGCCAAGCACTGCCTAGTAGGAAAATAAATTAAATAATACTATATCCTGAAATTTCACCTGTGTAGTGATCTGCACAGTCACAGACTGAGAACACTGCTGATTTCTGAGTTTTGCCGCTGGAATGTGTGCCTTGYTGAGATTCCCGCTTTCTGCTGAGATTTCTAAGTCTGTGTGTGCGCGTGCTTGCTGATTCCCGTGTGCCTGTCTGAGTGCACGATTGCTTGGGTGTGTGTGTGACCCGCCAGGGTAGTTGTATGTTTGGAAGGCCCCCGGGCCTGGTACTTACCTGTGGCAGTGACTTGGTGGGTTGCAGCGGGGTGTAGCGGTAGGCTAGGCCTGCGTAGCTGGAAAAACACTCAAGTAGTGGGTAGGTTAGGTAGTAGGTAGAAAATACTTGAGCAGCGGGCAGGTAGGCAGAAAAGGACAAAAGTTAGCACCTTTAGAGTCCGAGTGAATTTTAAAAGTCCAGTAGGCTCAGGTCTAGAGGTACCAGTCCAGTAGTCTGAGTCTAGGGCCTGTAGCAGACGATATCAGATCTGCAATGATGTTTCCCTCCGAAAGGAGGCAGGTATCGGATCCTTGGGAGTCTGAGCAGCCTGGGAAGTCACCGCCCAAGAGGCAAGCTTCCGGTATATCTTGGGAGATTGCTCTCCCTCATTTTGTGGTGTGCATGTTTGGCGTCACACTGCTGGAGCTAGCGCTGGCCAAGTCCAGCGCTTGGGAGGAGAAGGAGACCAGGCGCTCCAGCTCCAGCTATGGAGGAGCAGCCCAGATAGGAGGAGGATGGAGGAGGTGGGCTTGGAGGAGAGTGACGGGGTACTTACCTGGTTATGGTGGACGGCATCTTCATCTTCTTGGTTGGCGCCTGGAAGGCCCCAGTGGGGGGGTGTGCTGCTTCAAGGAAGGCTTCAGGGCAGAGTTAGGCATGGTGGCCTGAGTAGAGGGGACATATCAGCTTTGCCTTGTCCTTTGAACATCGCGGCAAGGCCCCACTAGTCTGCCATACCCACCATTTCAAAACTTTTTTTTGATTGACGATCGTGATAGTTGATTCCATAGAAAGTTTAGAAACTCTTGAAAATCAATCATCAAACACATAGATGGTAAAGGCGTCCCGCCATGTTTTGCATGATTGAGTCTGTTTAGTTTGAAATCAAGCTCACATGCTGAAAATGGTAAACACAGCAGGGTTAAAATATGTTCCTACGAGTCATCAGTTCAAGTCCGATGGTGAGCATACTCGCTTGATGAGAATGGTAAACACAACACGCTAAAACACTGCGTTGGTTCGAGTGAGTTGGGACCACAGTGAATATATAACTTAATAGGTCAAAGTCTCATATTGTGAATTTGAAAACACGGGTTCAACTCCCGTTATTCGCCTCTAGGAAGAGGAAGGAGGTGGGCTAGGAGGAGAGTGATGGGGTACTTACCTGGCTATGGTGGGTGGCATCTTCATCTTCTTGGTTGGCGCTGCACCTTGAAGGCCCCAGTAGGAGGGTGCGCTGCTTCAAGGAAGGCTTCAGGGCAGGGTTAGGCATGGCGGCCTGAGTAGAGGGGACACTCCAGCTTTGCCTCGTCCTCTGAACATCGGGGCAAGGCCCCACTAGTCCACTATAGCCACCACCATTAGAAGGTGGTAGAAGGTGGAGGTCATGGCGATGGTGGACCTCATGTACTGCTGGCAATTAAGGAGGAGACTAGGACATTGTTTCTGGTTCATTGCCTTCAATCATTCAATGTTATTATTATCTACTGAACACTTAGAGCATAAGCCAGGCCTGGGAAGACGCTTCTGAATGGGCCAAACGAAATGGATTCCTGAAGTCCCAAATGTCCTGTTTTGTCCCAGCCGCATTTAGAAGTTTAGTTTCGTTTTTTTGGGGCCCGTTTCACGATGGAGAGGTCAGCAGCTTGAATCCGCATCCTGTTTGTACCACCTGGGTCGCTTTTCCCTTTTTCTTTAGGTTTTCCAACAGACGCCTAGCTGGTTTTGGCATTTTCTGCTTTGTTTTTTAGGGGGTCGTTTCACGATAGAGAGGTAAGCAGCTCGAGTCTGCCTCTTGTTTCTACCACTTGGGCCGTTTTTCTCTTTTTTCTCTGTTTCCAATGCAAGCCTAACTGAATTTGTCGTTTTTTCTTTCGTTTTGTTTTCCCCGCCACAAGCTTTGTCGTTTTGTGCCACCCGGGTGGATGGGCAAATCGGATTCGGTGGCTAAGGGCCTCGCCGCACCACTGTCGAAAATGCTATTTTCGACAGTTCCTCTTCGCCACACGGGCTGTCGAAGTCGGAGACGGGAAGAAAATTTGCAAGTTGTCAGAGAATGCTTCTTGACACCTCCTGTCGAAAGTTGTTGAATCCCCAGCCTGCTACTCCGATGCTTTCGACACTCCTCGGCTGCGCCGTCGACTTCCCTTCGAAATTAGAGTGGGGGTAAGGTCGGGATGGACTGATTCTGGTCGTACCCTCAGGCGCGTTAGTCTTTTTCCATCTTGCTTTCACAAGTGCGTGAACTATACTGTGCTGTGTGGCGAAGGGGGGGCAAACTGTCGAATGGAGGCTGTCGAATGGAGGCTGTCGAATTTGATTTGACAGCCGTCGAATTTTTCGGCCTTTCAACTGTGGTGTGGCGAGGCCCTAAGAGCGTGCGAACTGCCAGATGTTTGAATACAACTACATAGCGTGGAAAGAAGACACTTAGTGCACACCACATGCACAAAAGACAAAAATATGGCAGTGTATCTTTCCAGGTTCTCACGTATGATTGCGCGTTGGGCCTTGGCTCCAGCACTCACCAGATGTGCAAAATAAGAATGAATCCACGTGGAATGCCGGTCTTTTTTTCCCCCCTTTCTGGCAGTCTCTGTTTGGCCTTGGCTCCGGAACTCACCAAATATGCAAAATGTGAATGATTTTCCCGTTAGAAAATGGGAAGATGCAGTGCTGTGTTTTTGGGGGCAGGGGTAGCCTCCTGAGTGCAGGGGCTTACGGCCCCGAATGTGCAAGACAATGAATCTCCCGTTATTTAAAAATGAAAAAAAAAAAAGAAATGGGAAGATGCACCGCTGTTGAGTTTGCCCGTGTGTGTTTTTCTTTTGGGTGGGGCATAGTCAAGACGACGACGGGGCGTTTCACGCACACGTGGCCTGCGGGATCCTTAGCTGCCCCCATGGGCCAAACTCCCTTGTCGCGGCTTTCCTCGTAAAAGCCAAGCTTTTTCTTTGACAGGCAAGTTGATGGAGCAACTTAAAGGAGTTCAGTTTCACCACTGAGCCTATAAGGATGAAACGGACCGAGACGTAGACATTTTGTCCTTCCGTCCTTACCACAACCATGACCCTATCCAGCTCACTGCCATCTCGGTCACCACCGTTGATGACTAGGTGACCGCCATGTTTCGCACTCAGTACCGATACTGCCCAGATTATCACGATGTTTATGCGACACCGTGGTGAGGTAAGACTGTTCATATATATTCCGTCAGGGTGAACGGTCTTCTAGACTGGTATTGTAAGTGAGGTCGTCGAGAACCACATGTATACGTTCTCTCCACACGACAACTCTGTGTTTAGGTTATAACAGAGTCTCGTGATCAGGCAGTTGCCGGTCATATAGGCTCCCAAAAGACTATGGATTATGTTAGTTGTCTATACGTCTGGCCGGAGCGCAAGGAATTTGTTATGAGCTACGTTCAAAAGTGTCGTATTTGCCAGGAGGTAAACAGTGCAAACCACCTTCCGTACAATTATTTCAGTCTCTACCTATACGTAAAGGTCATTGGCAGTCCATCTCTATGGACTTTGTTATTCCCCTCCGCCCTCTCACTGAGCGTGGTCGATGATATCTTAGTTATGTCGATTGCTTCATAAAGCGAGCACATTTCATCTCGTGCAGTTGTTGCCTTTGCGCTTGTGAGGTTTTCGATATCATCTTTGAGCGAGTCGTGAGAAACCATGGTCTACCTCATACGTGACCCGCTCTTTACCAACACATTCTGGCGATGCCTACACAACGTGTATGGATCTCGACTTAGCTTCTCATCATATTGCCATCCTCATACAGATTGTCCGATTGAGGTCACCAAGAAAACATTTGGTAATATTCTTTGAACGTTTGTTGAGGATGACCGACAATGAGACTTACACTTAGTCCACGTGGAGATTGCTTACAACTACACTGTTTCCCCCGTGTGGATATTCAGTCTTGTCCAGTCCGGTCTTGTACCATTGTCAGTACCAGTCCAGTCAGTCCAGTCTGGTCGGTCCGTTAGGGGTATACCCCAACTGCAGTCTGTATTTTGGATCTCTTCATTTCCATATTTTGTTTTAGAGTACGTGCGTGTTGAGTCTGCGGTGGTGCTGCAGTGTCTCGTCCAACTTCACCACCGTCTCCACCCTCATCCTCATCTCTTCCTCCTCTACTGGGACGGGACCGGCACTCCGGCTGTCTCATGACACAAATTGATCAAAGCAATCAATCAATCAACCTATCATTTATCCACCGACCAACCAGTCAATCAGTTAATGGATATTACCAAATTTACCACTCGCTCTGTCACCCGCCCACCACGGTTGCTCTCCTCCCTTTTGCGAATTATCATTGTCTTCGCAGTAACTTCCTCCCGCTTTTGATTTGATTTCTCCACGTAATACCATCATTATATGTGATGGTGCTTCGTATCCCACGATTACTGCTCGAACTCTCGAAAACAGGAAGGAAAAAGAAAAAACAAATCCTCCAACATTTGCCTTGGCTTCACCTTTTTCCTTTTCAAAAAAACAATCCCGTTCAACTTTTTAAGGCTCAAACTATATGGGGTTCAACTTTTAAGGCTCAAACTATATGGGGCTCAACTTTTTAAGGCTCAAACTATATGGGGTCTTTCTTAACGATCCAAACTCTCTCTCTCTCTCTCACACACACATACACACACGCCCATGTATTATATCGTAAAGCTTGTCTGCAACCGCCAGCTCGCAGTTGGCAGCTGGCCTCCCATTTCAGTGTTCTTTGCTACTACTAAAGTTGTATACTCTCTGGA